GCACCCATCTCAAAAAACTAAATTGACTTCTAATACACAAATGAAACCTAAATTTAACATCACACAGAAATGTTTGAAATACTAATTTTATTAGAAAAGCATTGGATAGTTGTAGTAGCTCATATAACCAATCACTTAATTTTAAAATGACGTGGCCTGAGGAAATCAATTAAAATATGGATTTTTTTTTCATTAATTCAACTAATATTTGAGCACCTACAAGTGCCAAGCATTGGAGATACAAGCAAAACAGGAGGATCCTTGCTCTCATGGAGCTTACATTCTACTAATAGCAGGAGGGCCATGTTAAAGAAATGTTTATATTTCTTATAAACATGTCAGACAGAGAAGTGACAGGAAGTGGAGGTGCTTTACAGAACACAATGTAGTCACAGTGACAAAAAGATAAGTGTTTAAGGAAGACTCTAACAGTTCAGGCAGCAGGGACCTTGCAGACCCTGAGGTGGGAAGGAGTTTGTAGGCTCAAGGAACTAGAAGAAGTCTAGAATGGCTGACGCACCAAAGTGAAAAGTGAAAAGAAGGGCCAAGGAGATGAGACTGAAGAGGTGATGATCAAGGTCACAGAGGGCATGAGAGGTCTGGCAATCCTACAGGGAACCGGTGAAAGATGTAAGTAAGGGAGTAACATGACCAGATGTGCATTTAGAATGGCCGCCCTAATTCCAGAGTGATGGAGAGATTAGACTAGGCAAGACTGAATGCAGGCAGGCCACTTCTAATGCCTATGGTAGTGAAAGACAAAAGTAACTGGGGGGATTCAAGTGACAGTTAGGAGGCAAAATCAATAGCACTTGCTGATAATCTGCAATTCCTCTAGGATAATCAATACAGATATCCAGGTGACTTGTTAGATATTCAGGTCTGAAGCTCAGAGGAGAACTGTGTTATGAACTGTCGACGCAGGAGTCATCTACATTTAGATGGCAACTGAAGCCATAAGAAGGGCTGAAATGGCCCAGCAAAAATAAACCAAGCCATGAGAAATACATACATTTAAGAATAAGATGTGCCAGGGGCTGGGGGGAGGGGAAATGGGGAGTTAGTGTTTAATAAAAGAGTTTCAGTTGCGGATGATGAAAAGTTCTGGAGATGGATGGTGGTGATGGCTGCACAATAGTGTGAATGTACTTAATGCCACAGAACTGTACCTTTAAAATATGGTAAAATGGTAAATGTTATGTTATGTACCACAATTTAAAAAAGAATGAGGAGATATGTGAGTGTTACTTTTATCTTTCAAAGTAAGACTGTATCCATTATTACTAGTGAGAAACCAGGACAATAGTGAAGGGGTGTAGGAATCAGCAGAGAAGAGGGGCCTGCGAGGGAAACTAAACAAGAATGGCCAAAGAGGTTGGTAGAAAACCTGGAGTGTTAGGAAATGGAAGCTAAGGACAGCGTTTCTAGGAGGACGTGTTCAACGGATTTGAAGGCTGCAGAGAATTACATCTGATCAAGTCAGAAAAGAACCCACTGGTTTCAGCAACATGGAGGTCAATGGTGGCCTTGGAGAGGGCTGTCGGCAGTGGATGCCACGAGGGGTAGGGTGAGGAGAAAATGGGTAAGAAATAGAGTCTCCTGTGCAGTCAGCAAGAAATCTGATTACTATGGGAAGGAGTAGGACAGTTGCTGGAGTGAAAAGTAATAGATGCTTTTAAAAAATAAAAATGTATTAAAATATCATGCATAATCATAATCAGCAAAGCAATCATTTCAGTGGGAATACAACTTTGTATTAATAGTCTTGATACTACCCGGAATTTATAGCTTATAGGACTTTTCATACTACATGTGGTTTAAAAAGGGTAACTGTAAGTTATTCTTTTCACTTTATGGGTGATTCAAGCTGAGCCACAGAAAAATCTCTCTAAGAAAATTTACAGGGGATTGAGGTTCATCAAATAATACCTTCACCGATTTTTTTAAGGTAGAAAAGTACAGTGCACTGTGTTAAAAAAACAATTTTACTGTAATAGTCACACGCTGAAAAAGTCTAAAGTTTTAGTGCTCCGAATATATTAATTTTTGGTATGTGGCCAGTAGAAGATGCTTTCTATTCCAGTTACATCCTGAAGATGCCAAAGTCGGTCTTCTGGATTGGGGCATTGAGGGCTGCGCTGAGGCTGAGACCCAGGACCAGTCTGGTGTCCGCTGGATCAATAATCCCATCATCCCATAGCCTGACAAAAGAGCGAAACATGAGTGATTAGGAATCCACCACCAAACCACCATTTGTACACTCCTTGCCCAGAAATGGCAAGGAGGTTTTTCTTCAGGTAATATATGGATCTACTTATTAGATGCTGTGGACTCTAATCTCACTGCTGAAACCATGTTTAAGAGAGAGGGGAAAAGGGACAAAGAAAAATGAAATGACTTTCATCCCACGCCCCCACAGAATGTCAAATCGAGCTTATGGCTTTAAGNCTTGCAGGACATGCTACCAGTTAGTGTTCATTGTTACAAACACAGGAGCCTGACTCTGGGAAAAATTTTTTAAAAGAATTTAAAGATTTTGGAAAAATACAGGATGCCCAGATACCTCAGGCTCACAGAGTCTCAGTAACCAGAGTGCCAGGGAGCCCGGAGCAAGAACGAACAAACAGCCTCTAACAGTCCCCTGGAACAACTCAGGGACAGTCGATCTCCATCTTAGTCCCTCTGCTCAAGAGTCAAACGCTAGAGAAAGTCAGCCTGGCTAAGGCTCGGTGAGGAGTCCAGCTCTCAGCAGAGGACCAGGACTCTTTGTTTGACACTCCCCAAGACTGCACAGAACAGGAGCGGGGTAGTTCCCAAAGGAGAATGAGGGTGCAGTTACCAAAAGCTAGAGGGGTACCAAGCAGATGAAAATACTCTCACTTGACTCACTGCTGCACAAGGTCAGGCACCATGTCCTTATCTTTGTATCCCACCCCAAAGCCAGACACATAGTAGGCCTTCAGGAGATGTTAGTTCATTTGAATAAAATAAACACTGACAAAGCTGAAAAAGGCATCATCCTGGTAAAACAGTCTCCACCATCAGTCTCACCAAGCTACTTGATACACTTATGTGTAGAATTAAAACAGCTCTATTTCTTTTTCTCTAGCTTCTAACAAGTATTTCTGTCATGTTTTCTCTTCAGTAAGTTCTCTGTTAAATCTTCACCTTCTAAAACCTTCCCCTCCCTCCAATTCTCAGCCCACTTGCCCCAGTCCTGGTAGAAATAAAGGGGACCCCAGGAAGTGGAAAAAAAAACACGGACATCTGGAAAGAGACGGAAAACAACTGCTAGGACAGAGGCTGATTTTCCCCTCCCATCTTCCTCAAGTTCACACAACCTTTTAGTAGCAGAGCTAGGTCTGAGCTGGCTTTCTCCCAGTTCCTTCTCCCAGTCTAGGGTTCTTCCCATGACCATGATGCCTCCCACGCATTTGTGCTGAGTCTTCACAACTTATTACAAATGTGACATGATCGTCTAGACACAATTTTTAAAAATTAAAGGAAACACTGGTTTTTCCTAAACTATTTAATTCCACTGGAAATTATTCCAGTATAGGAAAAAGCCAGGGTCGTCATTATATCCAGCAACACCTGTAGCATAAACATACATTAACAGAGCAGAATTTAGCAATATGTCTTTAAAAGTCTACATATAATTTACAGTTATGTAAAGAAACTATAGGATATTTATTTATATCACTTACTTATAGCATTATTTTGTAATGGTGGGAAACCAGAAATAACCTAAGTGCCCAACAATAGGGGAGTGGTCAAATCAAATAGGGTACCATACAATGTAATATCATG